TTCATCTCTTGAAGCGTAAGAGGCCTTGCAGCGGCTACCACTATACTAAGGATCCTTCGCGCCTTGCCGGGGTCCTTGCTTTTGTTAAGAATATTGGTGTATAATTCTGTCACTTCGCGTGGCGCATTTGAGACAATTTTTGTAAATTCCTCCCTCGAGTCATCCACACTATCCTTCAAGATATCCAGAACAAGAGAAACCCAGAGGAATGTCTGATCGGCAGAAGACTCGAGGAGCTCTTTCAAATATCCTAGTCCCCCGGGCCGTCTCCAGCGTGATTCTAGGCTCTTTATTCCCTCACCTATGACACGGTTAACATCAGTAGTGATAGCGTCCAGCTCTTCCTCCCCTTTCAGCCTGATAATCCTTGTGGATGAGCCAAGCGCTGTTTCCATATCGTGATACGGGCGACTAGTCACAAGGAATTTTAAAGATGCCTCGGGATTTGGTGATTCGGGCAGGCGGCTTAGGTGACGGATGAACCGAGTTAGAGTCACTTGTTCGCACTCGTCCAACGCATCCAACACACAAATCACATCTCCGCGCTCTCCCTCCCCCGTCGTCGCCTTCACCAAAACTTTCCACAAGGTCTCGACCTCCTCCGTGAATCCCTTGCCCTTAGCTATAAACTCTTCCTCTGCGTATGAACAGAGGTCCTTTTTCTGTTGGAATAGCTGATGTAACAGGGCGCAGAGAGCAGACTTTGCATTCCTCTGTTCCTCGTTGTCGTCTTTAAAAAAGAAGTAACAAACGACGGTGTCCTTCCGGGATTGCAGATGGGTCACGAGGAATGAAGCCATAACCGATTTACCACAGCCTGGGTCCGCCGATAGCCAGAGCGGGCCAGATGCCCTCTTCCCCAACCATTCTTCGTACTTTAGATGTCTAGTAATCCATTCACAGGTTTCCGCGACCGGCTCACGAACTCGACCTCGGTGCTCCACGTATGCAGACGTGTAAAGACATCGCAAAATTTCGGCACGGTTCCGGGACGAGTCCGTGCCAGGGTAGTTGTAGTTTGTGATGTTAATATCTCTCGAGTTGGTGATGTTGCCAGAGCCGACGTTGCCGCTGTAATCACCCCGCACAATGTTGCCAGCCACCGACCTATACCTACAGGTATCAGTACTTAAAACAGCCAACGTATATAAGCGACAATCTAGGAACACACGTCTGGGGTACGAGGGGGTTCTCAGAAGCAACGGGTAATTGTTGGTCGCCCATCTTTTCAACAGACACTTAAATGGCGAGGAGTTTTGCTTCACAGTGCTGAATTCGCAAGAGTTTGCGAGAGAACGAAAGAAACAGAGCGCTGAGGGGACCTAGAGACTGTGCTTGTGCGGAGGCAGCAAGTTAAATACTTTAGCTTGTGTTGCATGCTGGAGCAAAGTTACCCCATACTACCGTTAATACTACTCCTGAACTTCATCAACACCATTCACAGATCGCCCGAGTCCCACCCCCCCACTCCCCAGATACCCTCCCCAATGGACATATTTCCCACCCGGCCTGTCAGCGCTGCCATGCAGGAGATAATTTTCAATCGACGCATTTACCGCGGAGATCGAGCCACTTGTTTCCAGCTAAAACACTTCTGCCGGTGTATCACCATTTTACAAGTATTGTACCTACAAAACTGACTGGTCATTTGAAAAGCGAAAAAAAAAATAACAGCTGCCGGTGGACTAACTCGTGATAGTGATAACCCATATTACCACCCCAACCAGCCCAATGCTGTACTGTACCGCAGAGGGATATCGCGACATAAAGTTAGGGATCGCGATCTCTGATACGATACAGCTCTGCTTCCTCAGGGTCATGCGAAACGGGGATGAAAACGGGTGATCTCGGAGGCGCAGGTTAAGGTCACGCTTGGAGGACGGCTAGATGAACACTAAATTAGAGGGCAACAAATCCGACCTTGTGCTACAGCCAGGCAACGATATTCGAGGATCACTTATACATTCTGGTGCCAATTTCACAAATCGTGGAGCTGTACTACAATCGAAGGATGCAGCCCAATTAGGGTGATTCCCGCCAGCAATGGAACAGTGGGGTCGGGTTCATGACATCGCCATTGCTCCAACAAGGTAATACCGTAGCACTCGCGTACCGGTAGATATGGGGGGGTGGATAATGCTTTGTTGTAGGCTACGACGGTATTATGGAGAATGTGCGGACCCCCCACCTCGCTTACCGGTAGCAGGGACCGAGTCCGCGCTCTAGCCAGCAGAAACAGGAAGCCCAGTGTCTACTTTAACTTGACCACACAAGACGCCCATTTTCAATCTGCTATCATACTGGAGGCGGCAATAACAAAACCCGTCCTCCATGTCCTGCTGATATGGGGGGCATCCATAGGGGGTTTGACATTCCGGTCTCCCCAATTTTATTTACCGCCACAGCACCCGCGCACAGAGACATGATGCTAATTCATTCCCTTGCTATGCAGGGCCCGGTACGAACCCACTGTCTTGGAGTAGATTCGGACCTCATTCAGGACCCGGATATAGGTTCCCAACTACAGTATGGGAATCTTTGGGCCGAATTCTGTGTCGAAAAAAAGAAAATTTTTTTCTCCCCCCCCCCTGCCCCTCGATCACCAAAAACCCGATTCTGGCAGGAAACCAAGGCCGCGCGCTCCTCTCCTTGCCAAGCCTGTAAATTACATTACTCAGGTATGAGTCCGCATCTGTACTTTCAAGATCTTAGGCTGTGAGGAAGACTTCCTTGCTCAAAAAAGCATGCTGAGAGAGGAGGAGATCAAGGAAAAGGGCTGGCTGGTCCAATTTCTCCAAAATTCTACGATTAATTGAAGTGGATCAGATATTCAAGTTATGATACTAGGAGGAGGGTAGCGCTATAATAACTGCGAAAACATCCTGAAAAGTTTTTGTTCAACAATCCCGCGAGGCCTGTAGTGCAAAACTCAACAACCTATGCTTACTACCATCAATGTACGCGAAGAGTACCGGCATATAGAGTAGAACTTGGATATGGATTACGAGAATTTTTTAGAGAGGGGACTGAAAGATATAAATTGCACATGCGGGTTTATTTTCAATCTCGTATGATGATAATATTATTATGTAGAGAAAAATCCCTAACCCTGTAATACTGGCATATTACTAAGCATTTTCGCAAGTGACACAAGAGTGGGGATTCCAGAGTACTTGTGCCACAGGAGCCACAACGCCACCTTCACATCAAACACGAGCAGCATCGCCTGCCACACCCCATCATCAGGCTTGTTCCCGATTACGATCCACCGGTACTCGAGCACACTGCTGGGGTAGATCGATACCTTCATACTAGTACCGTCCCGCTGCAAACTCTACCTTATCTCAGCCTCTGGAATACCAATTCCGATCATCCCAACCACAAACGACACCACCCCCGCGTTTCTACCAGCGTCTACCATGACCGACCCGGCCACCACCACACCCTCGCGCTTCGTCGCAAACACCGAAACGCTTGAGGACGTGCTGAAGACGCAAACCGTCGGCCTCGTGCATCTAAGTGAATTCAAGAAGCGTCGTGTGGAGCTGGCGGAACAGCGAGACCGCGAAGCTGCCGAGAAATTACAGCCGATTCGCACCAGCGGGGGCGGGGGAGGCGCGAGCTCCTCTCGTGAGGGAAGTGAGGCGCCCACCGGCAGCAGCGGCAGCAAGAGAACGAAGAAGCGCAGGAAGGTGGCCAAGGGGAAATTGTCATTCGCGGGGGAGGATGATGAAGATAATGGCACGGATGATGGCGGCGATTCTTCATCCGCCGATCCGACGAGGTCCAATAGCGAGGACAACAATAGGAGTGGCGAGGAGGATGAGATGAAGAAGCGGAAGGTGAATCCTAAATTGGGCCTGCCGGCTCCGAAGGTCTTGACGAAGAATACCCTTTTGAGAGAGGCTCAGGAACGGGAGACATTGAGGAGGGAGTTTTTGGCCTTGCAGGAGAAGATTAAGAACGAGGAGATTAGCATTCCGTTTGTCTTTTATGATGGTGGGTGTTATTACTGCTCTGACTTCCCTGGTTGGCCCAAGGCTGACACCTGCTAGGTACAAATGTCGCGCCGCCAACCGGAGAAGGTGTGACGGTCAAAAAGGGTGAGGCTGTATGGCTATTCCTTGAACGTGCCAGGAGAATGTCTGGACGCAGGGAGTGGCTCAGAGTATCG